TGTTCCGCGACGAAAACAATGTTGAGCAATGGCGATGTCGAATGGTGACACTCGGTAAGTAATCCTACAATTTTTTATTTATAGCGTAGTTTATACGGATTATTTCCAAAAAATATATGTGTGTTTTGGAAATGTTGAGTCGGATTAGTCTAGAATCGATTAATTTTATGGAAGAAAATCTTTCAAACAGCCGTAGTCCGTAAACTTGATACGTGTCGGGTTGTGATTGGAAGGATTCGTAAGAAATCGGATTCCTAAAGAATGGAACGTATCTCTATCTTATAGGGGGGTCGACTGTATATAAATACAGTAGAGCATCGATTATCCGATCCCCGATCAACCGTCACATCGGTTAACCAACCGTGTTCTAGTTGGCAAATTCAAATGTCCACTAGTGATGCGGCGCTAAAATATTTGGCTATTTCTTGGCTACTTTAATATTATTTTTGTTAAATTTTTGGTGTTTTAGCTGGCAACACTGGCTCGACCATGAAAGGGATGCCAGTATTTGGGTATGTTCTTAAAGTTGAACGAGTTAAACGAGAATAATGTCATTGTTATTCTTATTTTGTTAGACTTTTCGAACAATTCGTTTATAACTAAATGGCTGTTTCTAAAATTGAAGATATGAATGTTGCTAGTGCAGCCTTATCCGAAATATTTTTCTTAGATTGCTTCGGTGGACAGTTATTTCTATCATTTCACCTTTTAATTCACAGTTTAAACACTCGAGTAAATTTAGAAACTCGATATTGTCGGCCGCCATTTTCTTAACAAAGTGAACTAACTCTTTCCTTCGTGAACTTCTCGCTCAGTGATGACGTTTCGAATGAAACATCATCACTGCAGAGCATGCGCACTGAGCGAGACTACTACTATTAGAACGATTCGTTACTAACGCATTTAACTCATTCGACTTTACGAACGTATCCTTTAAATGAGGCTTAATTTTCTAATTATGAGTGGTTTTTTGTTTCGTGAGCAATAAAATAATTTAAAAATAATTTTTAACGATACAATAGCGACGATTATTATTTTAAAAATTTTTGTTAGGCTTAACATCAACGAAAATTCAACGCGAAGCAGGTTAATAGCAATATATTATCAATAATATACTAATTACATGGGATATACTAATATACTATACTAATAATGTATTTTTTTCATACTTTTCAGTTATCGGACCAACCCCAGTCCCCAGTTGAGTCGGATAATCGATGCTCTACTGTATGTCAATCTTTAGAAATTGTTAATTCTGTTTTTGATCTTGACATTATATTTGATACTAAACTCTCCTTTAAACTTCATATTGACAACTTAATTTTAAAAATTTCTATGTGATGTGCTATGCTGTGACACAACTTCAAAACCATTTGTAATAAGAATACCCTAAATGCTATTTTCTCTACCAGTATCCAGTTTTTAATAGATTACTCTTCACCTGTATCAGCTTAAGATTCTCCCTTATTTCTCAATAGACTTAGTGTTAAAATTAGTAAAACATTTCTTTTTTTTTAATAAATTAGCTCATCTACTGAGAACTAACTTTCCTGAAGTTGCTTTTTCTCACTTAGGCCTACCAGCATGTTCAAACATATTGATTATTTTGACTGGTATTGATTATTTTGAATATTCACCTACAAATATTTCAATGGTCTACTTCCATCACACTACAATAATACATGCATTCCTTCTGTTAATACAAGACAGCTATTGTGTTTCCCTGGCCCCCTTTTCCATTTTAACATAACAAGTACAGTAGACCCCCCCTATAACGCTTAGATACATTCTACGTTAATCGAATTTTACGTTGTAGGAATGATTAAATACATGAGCCAATCGCAGCCCGATAGGTGTGAAGTTTACGGACTAAGGCTGTTTGAAAGGTTTTCTTCTATAAAATTAACTGATTCTAGACTAATTCCACTCAACATTTCCAAAACACGTATAATTTTTTGGAAATAATCTATATAAACTATGCTATAAACAAAAAATTATAGGATTACTTACCGAGTGTGCACCATTCGACTACACCATTGCTCAAAGCTTGTTTTCGTCACGGAACAGCACACGAAATGGCGGCCGTGATTTCTGATTACGAATTTTTCGCAGAAAAATAACTTGACCTTTGGAGACATCATTAATATAAATAATTTTTATGGCCGTTGAATAAGAAATGTTTCTTTCACAAGGAATGTATAAAATTAGTGCTTTATTACACTTACAGTACCTAATTTACATACTGTACAGATGATAATAAACTCAACTTACTAGCCTAAAATCTCCGTAGCGTGGCGCCAGGCGGTAGAAAGCATATATATAATTATAATAAAGTTACAATAAATTAAGTTAATATATACAGTGGGTGATCGGTTAACGAACATAATCCGTTCCAAGACTTTGTTCGCTATCCGAATTGTTCGTTAACCGATTATCGATTTACCATAGGTTTTAATGGGAATTTAATTAATTCATTCTGGAGACCCCCCAAAAAATATACACTTTCTTACTACGTTTATTTATATGTAGTAATAAAAATACATACGTACAGTTTTGCGTTTTTATTAGTCATATTTTTTTCATTTGAAAGGGTTAAAGAATCTGTCTAATGCCGATTGCTTTTCTCTCTTCTTCGGGATTTTTAGTAAGTAATTAATAGCATTGCAATTGTAGAAATCCCCAAGTCTTAACCTGGTTTGGATGCCATTCTAAGATCGTTGTTCTGACATCTTCCCACTTCTTCAAAAGATTTTTAATTAATAGCAGATATCGGCATTAATCCTCTTTTTTTCAGAAGAAAACATATCTTGCCAAGTTTCTTGGTATTCTTCATTCAAGAGATCTTGGCGTTCTTCTGTCGTCAGATCCGTTTCGGGTTCCATTATGAACTCTTCGATGTTTGTGAAACTTAATATTT